TATTTTTATCACAAGTTATATCCTCACCTCCTCCACACGAGGTGATACTTTGTCCCCCTAGCCTTCTGTTTAGTGCTTTTATGGGCACGCTCTCTCCTTAACAAATCCTGTCTCACTTTCTTTTTCTCTCAAGTCACAATGGGGCACACCACTGCTGTCTCCAGGCACATAGATCCCACATCGGCCCAGCCAACATTGCCAAACTGGACACCACTTCCTCCCCCCTCTTGGAAGCAGATGTCACAGCCACGGACGCCACTGCTGCAGGAGAAAAGTCCCACTTCATGCTATCTCGGTATCTGCTGCTGTCACCTGTTCTCAGCCATCACTCAGCACGTGTTAGAACCCGTCCGTGCGCACGTGTGCTGGCTGCCGAGAAGGCAGGAAGCAGGCAGGCGGACTTTGCAGATTCTGCAGGAGTCAGGGCTCAGCCTCCCACGCCCAGGTCTGACATGGTGGGGAACTCCGTGGTGATAGGAGGGGTGTTTGTATGCTTAGAAGCCAAGACGTGAACGTCATCCACACGACCCTTCTCATCCCTTTGTGAGCACCTGAGCAGCCACTGTGCACCCCATCCTTCGCTGTGTGCTCCAGCCCCAGCCTCTCGCCTATACATTCCCCGAGTGTAAAAAGGAAGTGGAGGCCGGGCGCTGTGGCTCACGCCTGTAATCCTAGCTCTTGGGAGGCCGAGGCGGGCGGATTGCTCAAGGTCAGGAGTTCAAAACCAGCCTGAGCAAGAGTGAGACCCCGTCTCTACTATAAATAGAAAGAAATTAATTGGCCAACTGATATATATAGAAAAAATTAGCCGGGCATGGTGGCGCATGCCTGTAGTCCCAGCTACTCGGGAGGCTGAGGCAGAAGGATCACTCAAGCCCAGGAGTTTGAGGTTGCTGTGAGCTAGGCTGACGCCACGGCACTCACTCTAGCCTGGGCAACAAAGCGAGACTCTGTCTCAAAAAAAAAAAAAAAAAAAGGAAGTGGAGATTGAAGGTGGTAGCGACCCAGGGCCTTTAGCTGGATTCTCTAATCCACCTACTGCCTTATAAACACATTTACATCCCTGGATGTAGTGGTGAGGAGAGATCAACAATGATGGGACATATGAGAAGTTCTGGAGCTTTGTGATATTTCTGAAATTACCCAGAGATGCTAGAATGGAAACTCACACACAGAATGGGCAGTGCAGGCAGGAAACATATGGTCACTGCTCACTTAATGCCATGCTTCTCCTAGAGATGAAAACTCTCCAGCTAAGGAGACTGTTCAGACTGGAATCCCTCATGTCATATTTGCAGACTCTCTGTGTACCAGGGGCTTAACAAGGGGACAATCTTTGGACAACTTTTTGGCCACTTCAAAGGCCCTCCTTGTCCAGAACCTCCTGGGATGGGGAGACTGTGTTCTAAGCAGCCTTGTGTGACTGTCCCCAGGAGTCCAGAGTGACAAGGCACAAGCACAGGCACTAGGTGCTTCTCAGCTTGTACTGGGTGCCCTGAGCCACCTTTGATTGCATTGGAAGCTGTAAGTCCCCTCTGACAGAATCCAGACAACACCCTCATCTTGCACATGGGAAAACTGGAGTCCGAGGGAGCCATCGAGGTCCACTCTAGGGGTGAGGGCAGAGTCGGGGGTGGGAACTACCTGTCCTGATACTATGTCATTTCTCTTTCCACAGGACATTGACCAAGGCAGCAGGATTCAGTAGCCTTTCAGGAAAGACAGTTCGATGGAGTCATTTGGCATGAGAGAAAAAGCACAGTGACGGCTGGAATTCCAGGGAAATAGAAAGACCCGAGCCAAGTGTGGGATCAAAGAAAGATGTGAGTTTGGGGAGGCCCTGAAGATGAAAGGAACTCAGCTGTAAACTGACACTCCACAAAATGCCAACCCTGCCACCAACATTTGGTATCCTCATTTACAGTGACAGCTACACATTCTCTGTGCTCCTCTCACAAATTCACTGCTCACCTGGCAGACATATGGGCTAAGATTCCTGGAGCCTTTCTCACGGCAACACGGGTCCTAATAGACCAAGACACTCAGTTTACAATAAGTGAGACAGAGACCCGTGGTAGATGGAAGATGCCCAAAATCAGCAGTGGGAAACATCTCATAGGCAGAAAGATAAAAACAGATAGAAAGTAACTATGTGTTTGTTTGAACTTGCATTTCTTTACTTATTTTCATGTTTGTATTAGCTACTTGTATTGCTTTTTCTGTAAATTATATATGCACGGTCCATGATCATTTTTCCACTAGGAGATCTGCTTTTTATTGTGTTGGAAGTGTTCTTTTAATACTATAGAATATATTTATTCCCATCCTACCTGTTTACTCGTATATTTCCAAATTTCTGAGTTTTTCTTAATGTATGAAAGAGCCAGGTAGTTTAATATTTCAGATATTACATGCCTTGAGATCTTTATCACAACTCCTCATCTCTATTACTGTAGGACAAAGGCAGTCATATATAATACTTACAAGTGGATGTGGCCATATTCCAATAAATCTCATTACAGAATCACAAGTGTTACCAGTATGAGACTAGTGCTAACCTAGTCTCATAGGCCAGGAATCAAGGTTCCTACTGAGGGTTCAATTAGCTTGTTCAATGTGCAGAATAATGTTTTGCATCAAAATTGTAAAGTTTTTGGCCTCAGCTGAAGGATTGCTTGCATTGTTTTGTTGCTTATTGCTTGCTTATTAACTTACTTGGATTAATTTTGTAAATTCTGTACAATTTGTCTTGTGCAGCTCCTGACATCTTTTTCTGTTAGCTTAGTGGTCAGCTAGTGATTGGAAAGAGATTATCTTAAGTGCTGTAAACCAATAAGTCACGTGGACTTTTCCAAGGGGTTCTGTGTATGTGTTGAGGTGTACTTTCAACGTTACAGCAGACAGTTTACAAGTCTAGCTAAGCCTTCACTTCCTGCTTGCAGAGAGCCTGAAATTCAGACAAAGGAGAGTTACATGGGCATTCTCAGGTCTTTCCTTAGCATATGCACAGCTCTGAGGCAAATGGGCAACCCTAGGCAGGTATGGAACCTTCTAGATTCCCATAAACATGACAAAGATTTCCAAAAGTTCCTGGATATCTCATGTCCCACTTTTTCCTTTTTTGGTCAGCTTCAATTGATCTCACTGTCTCAAGTAGTTGTGATGTCCAAAAATTACCCCAGGGATAGCATTGTCCACACAGAGCAAGCTCTAATTCGGGTAAGATAAATACCTACTCTGAGAAAGGAGCATTTTTTTAGAGAGCTGACATACAGGTGAAATCTCTACAATTTTCTGGAGATGGAGTTTTGAGGGCAGAATGAGAAACTCAAAAACTAAGCTGCTGGTGTTCATAGTCACTGTCGTGCAAGTCTACTAGTTTTCAAGGCTACTACACAGCTGGGGATGGGAATAAGACAAGTCCTGTTGCCATGAAGCTCTCTGCTCTTGCTGATTCACCTGTTTTGTTTTTTTCTTCTTCAATAAACACTCATGTATTGTTGCAAGCCTTTAGTTAAGTTCCAGAGTTCTGAAACAGTTGATTTGGACAAGTATTGTTAACTATTCCCATAACTTTCAGGGAGATTTTACTCCCTCTTTCTGAAAGTGCTTCCCTTCTATAGAGGCTTGCTATCAAATTAAATAATTACACTTCTGATCCTGTGTCATTATTTTCTCTTTTATCATGAATAGGTAAGTGATTTTTTTTTACACATTCTACTGCTGAGATGAAGTAATCATACAATTTCCCCATTTATTTTGTTAATAACATTTTTTTCAATGACAATTTGGAATGTGAAACCAGCCATACATTTTTGAAATGAACACCTACTTGTTCTGGATGTATCACCATATTTTATGGGACAAAATTCACTGAGTAATATTTTGTGTTGGAGTTTTGACTTTATATTTATAGCAAAATTAGCACATAGTTTTCCTTTTGCGTAGTATCCATGTCATGTTTTGGTATAATAAAATTGCATTGAATATCAAGATGCTTTGAAAACAGAATGGTCTTATGTTGATGTGTAAGGCTGCAAACACTTTAAGAATAAAAATGCAGACACTTTAACTTATTGGCATTTTACAACAATTAGAAAGGATTTTTTTTTCTATGGTTAGACTGGAGCTCAGTGAGGACTGGCCCAGCCAGAACTAGAAGACAGCATCAGAAATGCATAGCAAAAAGGCACAAAGCCAGAAGGTAGCCACACGATTGCACTAGGAAGAAGAGGAGTGGCAGCACTCCTAGTAGGTGTAGCACACCGAATCCAGAGAGCTTCTCCTTAGCATCTCTCTGCCTCCCACATAAGGCTCCAATTCTCCCATGTGCATGTATAAGCCTATTACTTATCATTGTTTACACAGGTATTTTCTAAGTCAGCAAGCAAGTAGGAACAACATATGCTTTTACAGGAGTGCAGAGAAAGCCGGGTGGGGTTCACATTCCAAAATGATCTCATTAGACCTTTTTTTTTTTTTTGAAGATTTCTTCATTAGACTTTTGACTTTATCAAAATATGAAATTTCTGCATAGTCATGGAGACATAAAGACAGGAGTTAAAGGAGAAAATTTTAATTATGCAATTGAGATTTAGGTGCCTATAGTGCACATTGAATTGATATCTTCTAGGAATCTAGAAATTATCTTGCTAATACCACATTATTTTGCTTTTTCTTTGTGGCTGAGTGTGTGACTCGAACGTGAACGTGTGGAAAATAAACACCTCAAACATACTCCTATCTGAACACTTGGGAGAGGTGAGTTTCAATTGTCCTGGGTTCACAGCGGGAAGAGTGGACTTGGTCAGACCAGGAAAGACAACTCCCTCCTATCGCCTCAAAACCGCTGTATAAAGAAAGAGCGACGAAGGGCCAGGCCAGCCCTACAGCACCCTGAAAACAGCACAGTCTGCTGGGCTCTAAAAAGTGACATCCCGGAGGAGATTTCACATTTCCCCTTCCTGGGAGGCGGAAGGAAACAGCTAGTACTTCCTGGTCAAGTTGAGGCACTTCCGACTTCGCGCCCGGGGAACTACGGCTGCCCCTGCTGGCGGGACCCAGGGCTGATAGAAACAGGTCCCGCCTCCACGTGCACCCACACACTTTTCCTGCATTATGAAGCTGAGCAGCCTCTCCCTGCTCGCTGTGACCGTCCTCCTTTGCCTCCACATGGCCCAGCCTGGAGTCGGAAAAGGTACGGGCAGGACGCGGGGATCCTGGGTGTGGCTGAGGTTGGGGAACGTTTCCTCTGAGGGGTCCCTGGCATGAGCTGTCCCTGATGCCTGGAAGTGTCGCATAGGCGCCCCCGACTAACACCCTGTGGCATTTTTCTCCAGCTGTACCTAAACCAGGATACTGCCCGGAGTTTACTCTTTCCTGCCCTTTCGCCATGTTTCCTAAGTGCCGGCGTGACAGAAGTTGCCAGGAGAGCAAGAAGTGCTGCTACTACAACTGCCGACATCAGTGTATGGACCCGTGGTGGTCTCTGGACTGAGGTGAGCAGCCCCAGGTCTGCCGTTCCGGCCAGGGCCCTGAAACCTTCCTGCAGAACCATTTGCCTCAGGGCGAGTTGAGAACTGCCCGGGGCCCCTGGAAATCATTGCAATCAGAGCTTTTAAATTGGGTGGTGCCAGAGATTTGTCTGCAGGACAGTAAAGAGAAAGGTCCAACAGGCCCTGTTTCTTAGAAAGTGGCACCATTTATTTCATATTTCAGGCATAACACTTCTCCTCTGTATAATGGGGACATTAGGACAAGATTATCTCTAAGCTCCAACTGTTACTGAATTTTTATTATGATTATTTTCAGTCTCCCCACCCCCCGCGCTTTTTAAGTTTATAATAATGAAGCACTTTCCTATTTACGTTCATATTGTAAGGTAAGGGGTTATAAGATTTTAATTCCTAGGATGGTGTGCCTATAATCCCTTGTCCCCAGTGTCTGATTCCTTGGCAGCACATCTCAGTGCTCTTGGGAGGAGAATACCTAGCAGGATATGGGCAAGGCTTAAGAACACAAAACTATGTCTGTTGCACAGTTTGCATGTTCCTATATCTCTGCTTTGCTCTTCTCTCCCAAGATGGAAACCTCTTTCTAACCAGGCCTGAGGAGATGCTGCAGGCTCAGACATAGATAACTGGTCTCCAATTCTTCCAAGGCTTGCTTTTGGCAAGAGTTAAATGCTTACTAATATAACAACAAAACAAAGAAATAAAGCATCATCTATTTGAAACTCCACGAAAATCTCTAAGTCTGCTGGATTGATATCTCTCTCTTTACCCCCTTTATGGCTTTTCCCTTACAAACTGAAAAAAAAAAAAGGTTGGGGTCACCTTTCACATTTAGTTTTTGTCAATTCCTACATATTGATAAAATCCTGGTGTATTTCTCTCTTTCAATATCCTCTGACTTTCAGATTCTCTGTTGGTCAGATGCAAGGGCATTTTAGAGTCAAATGTTCTGTTTGGATCCAATGAGGGCCAAACACATTATCCTGAGATGGAAAAACAAGCTGTTTTTGCTGTAATTTCTCTGGCACTGCTGCTGGTGGGCCTTTCTGCTTGTTGCAGAATTATGATCTAGGACAGGATTTGGGCTGGATGTGAGGCAGAACATACCTTAGTTCTAGATATCTTTAAGGACCTAAAATTGAGACCATGAAAGGAAATCTTCTCGGTGGTTCAGCCTAGCTACCATGACTCTTATCTTTGCAGTTGAGCCCCTAGTCCACCTAATATTGAAGTGTGATTAGCCACAAATTTCCTCACTTTCTAACTCTCTGCCCCAGTCTTCCTTAAGGACCATAAAGGTAGCAGAGTTCTGGGAAAATGGTCTTCTATAATTTTATTTGTTAGTGACTAATATCATAAACAAGTTGTGAAAAGATATTCCTTAGCATGTTTTAAGCTGAAATCTAACATTTTTATCACAATTGCATAGCTGCAAATGATAAAATTTTAGATATATGATGAATATTATTTTTTTTGAGACAGAGTCTCATTCTGTCGCCCCGGCTAGAGTGCCGTGGCGTCAGCCTAGCTCACAGCAACCTCCAACTCCTGGACTCAAGCAATCCTCCTGCCTCAGCCTCCCGAGTAGTTGGGACTACAGGCATGCACCACCATGCTTGGCTAATTTTTTCTATATATTTTTAGTTGGCCAATTAATTTCTTTCTATTTTTATTAGAGAGGGGGTGTCACTCTTGCTCAGGCTGGTCTCGAACTCCTGACCTTGAGTGATCCTCCTACCTCGGCCTCCCAGAGTGCTAAGATTACAGGCGTGAGCCACTGCGCCTGGCCGAATATTTTAATTTCAATAAAAAGAGTACCTTACTCTTTTTAATGTTTCTAATGGAATCTAATTATTGTCTTCATTAGTTTGTAATATCTATGAAGGGGGAAAAGGTATGTTCTTTTCCCTATCTTCTTCCTCTTCTCCTCCTTCCTTTCACTTCATTTCCTGAACTATTCAAACCAAAACCATGGGTGAGTCAGTGAGTTTGAAACCTCTGAAAAGCAGATGCACAGAGAGGATCAGATGATAATCAAGTGTGTATTAGGGAAAATGCCTGTATGGGGAAATGTGAGGCAGCCAAATGGTCTGGAGAACCACCAGGCATGATGCTGCATGGTTGGGTAGAGGGGAGAGAAGAGCTATGGAGGAAGGGGCTCAGAATGCAGTACAAGATGGAGAAAGTATCAGCCAGGCTGAAAGAGAGCACTGGAACCAAAGTCCCCTATTGGAGGAGTCCTGTGTTTGAGAATGGGTCTGCCTTACTATCTGGACAGCACTCAGTCATTGGCTGGGAGCAACCTGTGGGAAGCCTGGCCTCTGCACGAACACAGTAGCATATTTAGAGGACAGTATCTGGGGCACCTGTCAATTACTCACCTTGAAACAGCAGGAGATACGAGTGATGCATTTCCATGCCTACCACTTCCTCTGCCTTGTGCCTCCCAGAGTTACTTCTCTAGTTAGTGGTTAATGTCAATTTGTTGAGTTCTTTTACATTCTTTGTTATCCAGTATCTCATCCCCTGTCGATCCTTCCTGGTAGGTATTAATATGTAATACAGAAATCTTCACACTAAGCGTCCACTCACATGTCTGTCCTCTTCCTCTACTCCAGATATCCTTGCTCCCAATTTTCTAGTCCTTTATCTTCCAAGCCCCTGTCTTAAATTTTAGGTTTTAATATTATTTAGATATGGCAAAGCCAACACATCAGGAGATGACTGTCATTGAAAAGAGAGTGTGTTATACTCACAGATCCCAAGAGGAGGGGCTATACCATGCCATAGGGGCCACACAGGAAGCACCTTTGTCAGTCAAAAGGCAGAGAAAGTGAGGGGAAAATGTGGGCAAGAGATTTTACTATAGTTTACTTGCAGGAAGGAATGGTGAGACTAATTAAGTATCTTAGGATTGACTAGTTTAAATAATTTCAGCAGTCTCTGAGGCATAAGTACTGCCTCTAGCTGTCTAACATTTGGCCAGTCCCACACTAGCCCTTGAAAACCTAGGACCCAGGTTATCCCTTGAAAACCTTGCCTCCATGCCAGCACCCACACATCTAGCCCCCATGTTGGCTTCATTGGACCTAGAGTCCAGGCAGGTCCCCATAGCCCCAGGCTCCAGTTCAGGACACATGGCTGTAAGCATCTGGCCAGCAGCCACAATGTCAAGATTCAGACCAGCCCATATAGACCTAGGCTCTACAGTTGCCCCAGTACCAAGCCAGGCTCAGGCTCCCGGCCAGACCCTGTGGCCTCAGGGTCCAGAAAACCCAGGGTCCAGGCTTATTCCAGCAGACTTGGGATCTAGGTCCATCCAAGTAGACCTCAATGCCAGGCCAGCCTTTATGCCACACCATGCCACGATTGAGGGTCCTGGACCAACCTTAAAGACCCAGGCTCAATGTTAGACAACATGGACACAGGACCTTGGCTCACCCACTTGGACTAAGGCTCCAGGCTTGCCCCAGTGGACCCAAGTGCCAAGCTCATCCCAGTGACTTGCCAGCTCCTGAATACTCAGGCACAAGGCCCACCCCAGTGCCAGGTCAGCCCCCACAGATCCAGGCAACATGCCCACCCATCTGCTAACCCAGGTACCAGGACAGCCTGCCCAAGGATTCCAGCAGCAAGTCAACCAATAGGCCGTGTCCAATGGCCTGCCTAGAATCTCTGAACAGACTGACTGGTAAAGGGCTCTCCCAGACAAAATCAATTGGCAAAGACTAGAGTAAATCTCTACTTGTTCAAATGCACAGACATCAACATAAAGCAACAAGAAATATGAAAACCTAAGGAGACATAACACCACCAAAAGAACACAGTAGTCTCCCATTGGCTGAGCCCAAAGAAATAGAGACATACAAACTGCCTGACAAAGAATTCAAACTAATTGTTCTCACAAAACTCAATGAACTTCAAAAAAATAGAGTAACAACTCATAAAATCAGAAAAAGGATAAATGACAAAAAGAAATTTAATGGAGAGATTGAAATCATTTAAAAAATCAAACAAATTCTGGAGCTGAAAATACAGTGAATGAAATGAAAAATGCAATAAGGAGCATCAATAGCAGAATTGATTAAGCAGAAGAAAGAATCTGTGAACTCAAAGAAAAGTTATTTTAAAATATACAATCAGATGACAAAAAAGAATGAAAAGGAGTGAAGAAAGATTATGGGATTTCTGGGACAGCATCAATAGAGCAAATATTTGAGTTACAGGAGTTTAAAAAGGATAAGAAACACATAAAGGGGTAGAAAGCTTATTTAAAGAATTAATAGTATAAAGTTTTCCAGATCTAGGAAAGACATAAATATCCAGAGACACATGGCCACCGCCTGCTGCTGGGGCTACTAAGTGGCTGCCGGGGTACTGGTCGCCGCTGGCGCTTCCTGGCGGCTGGGACCGCATGGGCCTGCTCCGAGGCGGGCCCCCATGCGCTCGGGCCATGGCGCGCCTGTGCGCTGTGCGCTCCCACTACTGCGCGCTGCTGCTGGCCGCGGCGCTTGCGGTCTGTGCCTTCTACTACCTAGGCTCGGGCTGGAGACCTTCTCCAGCGCCACCAAGAGGCTGAAGGAGGCCCCCGCCGCGTCCTCGCCGCCCGTGCCGGAGGTGGCGCGGGGCTCCGTGGCGCCGGCCCCGGACGCCAAGGCCAAGAGCCTGGAGGGCGGGGGTCCGGGCCGGTGGACTACCACCTGCTGGTGATGTTCACCAAGGCAGAGCCCAATGCTGCGCTGCAGGCCAAGGCCCTCGTCGCGCTGCGCTAGCTGCTGCGCCTCGCCAAGTTCGAGACGCACGAGGTGCTTAACCTTCATTTCGTGAGCGAGGAAGCCAGCCGCGAGGTGGCCAAGGTCCTGCTGCGGGAGCTCCTGCCGCCCGCCGCCGGCTTCAAGTGCAAGGTAAAAATGAAAAACAAAACCTTTTACAAAATGAATTTTCTGTGATGTTTTGGGGAAATGAGGGACCATTGAAGAACTCACCACCACCTGGAGTTTAAGTTTAAGCATGAAAATGTCACTCATGCCTGATGTTCCAGTGCTCCAAATCAGCACGTGTCCGTTGTAGAAGATCTCTACTGTCCTAGAGGGCAGATGCCCTCTGAAAAGTTCTTACTCCGAAAGACCCTCTGAGTTAAAGTTTAAGCTGTATCATTTAGACTTGTATTTGGAATGTATCACATTCTCTGAACTGTCACTGCCTGTATGGAGTCATGAATGACATTGGGTTACTTTCCCCTAGGAGAATATAAGCCTTAATAATTTTTTTTTAATTTTTTTTTGCTGTTTAGCAAAAAAAAACAAAACAAAACAAAACAACAACAACAGAAAAACCTCACCCAGGTTGGATCAGAGCTAGAAGGCAAGAAGTATATAATGTATACTGTATATGTAAAGTAGCAAGAAAGTCAAGAGTATATAGCATAATAGGTAAGGAAACTTGCCCAAGGCTACCTGGGGAGTTACTGACCCAGTTGGGGTTAGACCTGCATTCTAGGCCAATGTTCTTCCTTTTGTGCCATATTTCCCCTTTAAGGAGCACTTCTCTCTTGTAAGATAAGGTCCAGAAGGCAATTTACCCCTGGGAAGAATCGACTTGAATTATGTTGAACTCCTTGGGAAGAGCAAGGAGCTGCCTTGCCCACCCAACTGCCTAGAGACAGCCTGGGAGCTCCTCTTCCCTTAGGGTGGCTGTGGGACTCCACTGTGGCTATAAGATGCAGAA